CAAGTGAGAAGTAGTATTTAATTTAGGCTATTTATTGGTGCTCTGGTTAGAGATTTGGCAAAAATAAGATCTGAAGATGTTTTATGGATTTAGAGTCACCTAACCCTCTCCAGTCTTTCCAATATCTTAGATTTGGCTGGACAATGTCTCTCTCACTCTTTTCATAGAAAGGCATTAGACTGTATAGGTGCCTGAGATATTAAATCTAATGAGATCTTCTGCATAGAGATACAACAAAATAGATCTTTTGTTATTTCATGCTTTACCTCAGATTTTAAAATCAACAGTTAAGTTACTTGAGTTCTCCTCCTTGTTACTCTGAAAAATCTGAGATTTAAAGTGTAATGGCCAATAAAAGTTAAATTTATATTTTAAATTTAAAAAGTCAAGTGACATACCGGATCTATTGCCTGATAGTGATGCTTCCTCATTAGTCTATAACTTCCCTGAGCAAGTAAGGGTGGCAACTGACTTGCTCATCATTGATTCCTCAGTGCCTGACACAACTTGTGGCCCACAATAAGTTTTCGGCAAATAAGAGCTTTGATCAAAACATGTATTAAATGCTATTATATACCGATCATTTTGTTAACATCTGTGGAAAGAAAAATTGTAAATTCTCTGTGTGGGGCATTTAAAATCTCATGACGAAAACAAAGTATACAAACAAAGGTTAACAATAACACAAGGTGGGACAATCAGTGCTCGAGACACAAAGGGCACTTATAGGTGTTTTGGTAGTAGTGGTTGTTAGGTTCAGTCTGTTTTTCCTTTAAAAAACAAACAAAATGCAATAAAAAATGTCAATTATCTCCTTTACCCAAGATTATTTTAAACCTGATCTTCATTTAAAATCTGATCTTCCACCTTAGGATATCTCCAGTAACCACTAAGGTTATGGCTTTTCTTTTTGATGGACTTTAAAATAAGAGCACCATGACTATATCCAACCAAACACCCTTTTCCCTTACTCATGATTAGCAAACCATTTTCAGGCTTTAAGCAAGAATAACAAAGATCGATAGGACCTAGCTATAAATCTTCAAGGCTCAAACTAAAATCTGTTTTAAAGCCATTTTAACTGTTTGAGGCTAACTTCAACATAAAACAGAGAAGTCTTTATTTCTCAAAAAGCCTTTCTGTCTCACACTTTATTTCAAGACCTTCACAACTAATACAAGCATCTCTGCACTGCAGCTCTTTGAGAGATTTGTCAACAGACTCAAATGGGTCTTTAATAGGTCTACTTCCTCTCCCATCCTGGACTAGGACTGCTTGGTGTGACCTCTGCTCTCTAACACCTAATAATCCAGATACACAACCATGATCAGGACATTTTCAACTAAGTGACAACATTAAATCAATTTAAGAATAAGAAGGGAACACACATGTATTACGAAATATGCTGCCCCAAATGCGATCCCTGCATTTACTAGCCAAGCAGAAATCAGTGTTAAAAAAGAAATCAGTACATAACTTATGGGAGTAGCTATTTAAAATAAATAACTCAAAACATTGGGATAGCAGGGTCTAACTTTGGACAGTGAGTTTGGAAAGAATTCCTGTCAATGACTTTTTAAACAGTTCAGACAGATAAAGTTGGGTCCTTTTCAGAAATGCCAGGGATAATATGATAGGCAGGTAAGTCTCTAGAAAGGGTACTTGCCTGGAATGGTTCTGTGGACTGCTGGACCAGCATTCTCCCTTTCAGCCAGGAGAAAGGCAGAGACAAGAACACAACCAACACATTGATTTTCCAATTTGCCTGCAAACAGACTGCCTTTTGTTCTCGCTTGCTCTGACCATCGGTCTGGCAGATTATAGGCGGCCACTGTAGGAGTCCCCTCTGTGCCCCATGCCATCAGCTGTTTGCTCACCTCAACAGAAGCGTTATTATTATCCAGGCCAGCAGTCTGCCGAGCTAGGCAAACCGTGTGAGTGTGGAAAAGATAAACAAATGCAGCCCAAATAACCCCAACAATGCCTGCAGTCATAAAGTCGGGAGACATTCTAAGTTTCCAGATGATAAAATATAAGTAAACTTACAATAATTCTAAAGATATGAGTATTTCTTGAAGGATGGAGGGGCACAAGAAAGAGGAGAGAATGAAGAAGTATACTCTCAAGCTCTGGTTCTAGTTCCAAAACTTGGTATCCCAGGGCTGAAGGGATCTCTGTCCACAGTGCTGAGTGTAGATTCCAGGTGAAGACAGAACTTGCTTGGGAAGCCAACTCATGGCCAGTCAAATGGCAGGAATTGAAAAGCTTCCTCTCCTCAAAAATCAGGCTATTAATCAGGATTCTCCAAGGCATTCACCTGCACGATTATAATGAGCAATAGCTCTTTCAAGACTGATGTCATCAGGAAGTAAGGAAGGAGAGCAGAATCACAGGCTGCAAAATTGACAACGGGGCAAAAGTCTTTGATACCTTAGAGATATCTGAGAAGGGAAGAGCAGTTATATAAAAGAAGTCAAGAGTGAAAAGAAAAACACCAGAGACTTACCATGACTACGTAGAAGGTACTTTACTGTGTGCAAAAGTCACATGGGATTTCCTATTTGTAACCAATTTCATCATTTCATTAAAAAAAAAAGTGGGATAGCCTTTCTTTTATTTGGGATTCAAGTAAAAGTTACCATTGAAGGGGAAAGTGGCAATGTTCAGCAGCTCTTTCAGTATCACAAACAAAAGTGCTCCTGGCTGAGCAGGGCTAATGCACAGATGCCAGAGCCTGGAGCTCATCTGCTCCACCATTTAGCAGCAGCACTGGCTCTTCCATATGAATGAGCAAGCTTTCCACAACGTTTATCTGATTATGAGAGCCACCATCCTCAAACACACATGAAGCTTTCCCTCCTCCCTAGTGAATTTGGATTCTGTATCCTGTGGCAACAGGCTTTACAGATGGAAACCTCAGTCCTCAGCTGGGCAGACATGGAGATGGGTGATTGGGTCAAGGGAGGAAAGAAAGAATGCCAAGAAGAAAATACAGCTGGCTCCAAAGCCTGTAATGTGGACTGGGGATCTTATCAATGAAGCAAAGTGTATAGAGTAATTATTAAAAGGTTTGAGAGCTTTCCTGAATTAGAACCAAGGAAGCTGTCCTGTGATTAAACCAGAATCTGATTCAATCACGGCCATCCACTTTCTCATTCTAAAAGGATAACTTTTTTTTTTTGCATCCTGCAGGAAATTCTGCTTTCATCAATTATTAGTTGTCCCCAACTACCATGAATAAAATGAAATTTTGGTGAAATAATTTTCAAATGATTATTATATTTTTTGTTAAATGTTTAAAAAGGGGGGCAGATTCTAATATAGGAACTGATAATAAGAAAACAATAGATTAAAATCTCTTTCCTGCTTGAGATTCTTGATTATTAATCTTATAAATAGGGGAGCTTCAGTTAATTTTAACTTTCAACAAACATGTCCTACATGTACATGTTTGTAGATAAAATGTCTTTTTCAACAAGTTCTAATACCTTTTTCTTCTTTAAAAGAGAGGTTTACAGAGATATAATGTACAAACCATAAAATTCATACTTTCAATGTATAGGTCTATGAGTTTTGACAAATGTGTCCAGTTGTGTAACTCCCGCCACAATCTAGATATAAAAATAGTCTGTCATCCCTAAAAATTCCTTAATGCCTCCTTTGTAGGCAACATTTCCAGGGTTTGCTGGTCAATTTAAGGAAATTTTATACAGATAACCTCCTCAGGTCCCTTTCTAGTTCCACATTTATTACTTTTGTCAGAGGAAAAGCCAATGAGGTTATAAAACCACAA